TTTTTATTACTCCATATAATTTCCACTCTTGTAGTTGCTCATGTCTTGTGGTTTAAAATTTTCCAGCGTTTATCGAGTTCCTTTTCCGTAGCCAGCTGGGTGGCAACTACTAACAGCGGGATCCCCGAGGGAATAGTTTCGCTTTTTCTGCATAGCCTAGAATTTTTATTTTTTTAGGTCTTGAACAGTGGTTATCTAAAATTTTTCATGTCTCACCTGATCATCTTCGCATATAATCTCAATGTCAGTGTTATATCCTCCATATCGTTTCTCCTCTTCACCTCTTTTAGTATTTCTGTTTTATCTGTATACTAGTCCTCCAGTATACGAACTAACTACATGGTCTTTTGGTCTTGCTTCTTTTGTTGCTGCTTTTGTCTCTGTGCGTCTTGATTTAGTCTCTGGCCGGTAAATACTCTTCGAGTTTTTTTCTAACTGCTTCTGGTACCCATTCTGCATCCATCTCGGTTGTTTCAGATTGGTCTGTGCTGACTATATCTTGATCAAGTTTAGCCATGTGGGTCGTTTTTGCTGATCTTTCTGGGCTACGTCTTGTGTTGTGCTGTTCTGTCTTCTCTTTCGGCTGTTTGCTGTCATTTCTCTCTGCTCTGCGTTGTCATCATTGTCTGCAGTTTGATCTCTCACTCTCGCATGTTGTAGTACCGGAAGAAAGGCAACTCCTCTATTGTCATCTGTTTTGCTCGCTGCTCGTCGTTAATATTTTTTAAATCTTCTTTCCTTACAATCCACTACTTGCATTCTTTCTATCAGTCTTTGTTTTTCATTAAACTGGTAAGTCTGGTACAGTTGGATGTATTTGTTTCCGTTCTTTTTTCACAATTTTTTCGGTAGAAGTTACAATGTTTTTATAACTTTTCAAATCAACAACATTAATTTTTTTTTTCGTTTTTCACAATCGTTTTTGTTTCTACTAAATCTTCAACTTGATTCGGTTTATATTTATATGGACACTTATTCCTTGTTTTGTTTTGTCCTCAATGACAGTTGTTTTTCAGGTTGTTTTTATTACGCCATGTATTACATCATTACCTCACATCGGAAATTTCCTCTATAATATAATTCATTCTGCTTACATCACTCAATTGACATTGAAAAAATTGAGTACACTCCTTTTTCCAGTTCTGGGGAATGTTGTCTAAGGACTGTTGTTGACTGAGGTTCCAATTCCAATTGTGTAGGACAGTAAATATAAGATAATATGTTCCGTTTTTGATGGGTTATCTCTTGAAGACGTATGTTTAATGACTTATTGCATATGTGACATTAGTAAAAGGTGCATGTGTAAGTTTTTTTTCCATGCTTGATCATGACATTTGCTCCGTCGCAAATAACTACTTTTGCGGGGCCCAACCACATGTTTTCTCATAAATTTTTCTTTTGTAACATATGACATCACCTTATTGAACTTTCTGAAAATTAATTTTTATTTTTTCTTTTTCCACTTTTCCTCGTTTTCAGCTTTAACTTCAGGCTTCTCTAACAGAATGTTTTGTATTTTGATGTTTTTTAACTCAACAACGTCTTGTGTTCTTGAATTGTCTTAAATTGTTTTGGAAATTTTTCTTGATCCTGTATAGTGATTGCAAGTGGGTTACTCAAAACCATCCCTAGACGCACATTTTACGTCTTGCTTTATTTTTTTGGTCTTGATGGCATTTGCCAATAAAACTTCATTCTTTTTCATCAAAATGTGGTCATTTTTACTTGATGCTTTTGAGTTTTTCGTTATGTTTTTCTACTACCAATTTTAAAAAAATGTGAATATCCTGCTGTTGTATTGATTTTGCATCCAAAAGTTGAAATCATTACTAATATGAGATCATTAGTATACCTTCACCCTAAGTCATCTTGGGATTATCTCGGCGGAATTACCGCATTCATAACATCTTTTTATTCTTCTGACGGAAGTAATGATGCTACATTCAGTCTTGAGAACTCATCCACTATGTGTAAGATGTGTAATTTTTGCTCTTGTTTTAGACTTTTTTTTGTCGGTCAGACGCTCAGGTTAAAGTCTTTACGCCTGTGAATTTGTTGCTCCTGTTTACTCTATGATAGTTTTCACAAAAACTACTCATTATTACAACTTTCTGAACTGTTCAACCAATCCAGATAGATTTTCCTTGACTAGTGAGTTATCAAAAAGTGTTTCAATTTTCCATGAGAAGAACGTGTAGATAATCTGATATGCCGGTCCGTGATTTTCCGTGTCCCGTTTCTTCTCCAGAGATTGAAAAAGACAAATCTTACCTTTTTAAATGTTCCATCCAATGACTATCACTGAGCCTAGTTTCTCTAGAGCTCGACTGTCAATAAGACATGAGAGAACATCATCTCTGATAAATAATTGGAAGGTGAGAAAATTGTCACAATCAGTTACTGGTAAGTCTATAAAAGATATGGCTTTGATTGGATCTTCTCTAGCGAAATTGAAACTTTGCTTACTTCATGTTTTCGGTTTTCTAATTCCCTGCATTGAATGGGAGCAAGTGGTTTTTCATCTCTGTGAGGCATCTTCTAAATATCACTGTTTTTGCAGCCCTTGGGTCGATTATGAATCTGAGAATTTTAGAATTTCTATCGTATCAGTCATTTTTGTGGTCTTTTTTCCAGAAAATTGAAGTCCATTAACAAACAGGGTGATTTGTTGTACTGTTGTTGTGCTTCTTTTCTCTCTCAGGTTTTGTTGATATCAAGGCTCTTTGATAAGCTTTTTTTCAGCTTTTTTTCTTTGAAAATAATCTAAGCTAATGCTATAGATTCTAAGAAAAAAAAATGTCAGTTTTATTAACCTTTCACGTTATGATCTCTCTCCCTCTCTTTTCTGTAGACATTATTTTGTCTATGGTTCTGTATTGAAGGTCACGGTCGTCTAATAATTTTTCTCACACTTATACATTTCTTAAATTTTGTTGAGCTACGTTAGAGGAACACTTTGAGAGAAAAATGGCAGTGATTGACTCAGTTGTTTGGGCGTGTTTTTGAATGACTAAAACGCCAAAAATATCTCCTCTACTGAATCTGAAACTCTCGTCACTATCTCGCTTTTAGTTGCGTAATTGCCTCCATTGAAAGGGATCGAATGATTTTTCAGTATCTGTATGGCATCTTTTTAATATCAGTGTTTTTGCTGCTTCTGAGTCGATTATAAATTTTAATTTCTATCGTACCATACTTTTTCTATGTTTTTTTTCTTCTAAAAGTTGAAGTTCATTCTCATACCCACAAGTTAAAATTTTGGTCTTGTTTCTTTTCTATCGTCTCTGGGCTCATGTTATTGATCATTTGATAAGGTTTTGATAAATCTTGACTTCTGCTCTTTTTCATATTCTTCAGAGTTATAATTGGTTTGTTGATATCTACTTTCGTTTGCATTATTTTGTTGGTCCTTCATGTGTCAGCTAAAGGATTGATTGTTGCAGCCCTCCAATTTCTTCTTCACTGCTTGGACTATCTGCATTCTATGTCGAAGTGTCTCTCTATTCCACGACCGTTGCTTTTAAAGGTACTCCTGTTGATTCTTACTCTTCCTCCTTGACTTTTCTCAGATCCCCTATTGTAGTAAACACCGCCAGCAGATTTTTCACTTGGCCTTGAGTCGTCTCATCGTATGTTCTAAAATAGTCGGGTCACTTTGTTCAACTCCAGAGTTCTTCTTGACTACACTTTCTATGTTCATCTTTGCAGTTTCGTCTAGATTGGAGCATGTCAATATTGCCACACAGTATATGGCGTTCGGGATCACCATTCCCAGTTTCCACATTTCTTTTCCATATTTCTTCATCTTTTTGATGTTTCGGTCCCAGTATACATCTTCACGTTTTTCACATATTCTCCTTTTTTGACAACACAGTCACATTTTTGTAAATGGTTTGAAAGCATGTATGTTATTCATCCAGTACTCGTATGATATTGTCTACCTCTTCACTATCATGTGTCAAATCTTCGGTCATAGACTCTGCTATCTCATTTTACTTCTGGGTTCTAGATTCGGTTCATTATGTTATGTGATGCTTGAATCTGTACGCATACTCTCCAATACTCATTATTTCTTTTCCATCGGACATAATCATCTAGGGAAATCGTTTTTAGCAGCGGGACTTGCATGTCTTTCCCGTTATTTACTCTTTGTACACTGATGGGTGCAGAACACTGTTAATGTGGTATTTCCATAATGTGGTTTTGTTGGATAAATACTGAAGGTATCTTGTCATTTCTTCAACCTGTGCGTTTATTGTGTCAATTTGGGTTCTTTGATTTGGCCCATTGTTTCATTCACTATTGCGTTCTCTGTGTCATCCACTATCTCATAGCTGATAGAGCTCTTTTTGCACACACTCACTTGAGGGTTCGATCTTTGTTATCTTGTAACTATGATTGATGAGCCCCCTGCTACTCTATTGCAATTGTACTGCTCTTTAATGTCTTATAGTACCTCGTAGGTGTCGGGTTCAGGTGTTTCTTTTTTTTGGATCATACTTTCTCGATGGCATTATTCTTCTTTGCTATCTTTGTTCCAATTTCGTTTTACTGTTGGTGGCCAGTCTACTTGTTGCTTAGCATAACTCATGCCTGCTACCATGATAGGTCGATAAAATCCTCTAAGCTAATGCTATGAATTCTAACACAAAAAGACTACTTGTCAGTCACCTTTTAGTTTCACGTTGTTATCTCTCTCTCTCTCTCTCTCTCTTGATCTTTCTATAGATATTGTTTTGTCTATGATTCTCTTTTAGAGAGCCTCACGTTGGTTGAAATTTGGCAGTAAATGACTCAGCTGTTTGGGAAAAAATCAAAATTGATCCATTTATTTTAGGGGTAAGGTTTTTGGCCTGAATTTTTCAAAGCAAATTTCACCATATTATTTCTGTTGGTAGTCTAAGCATGTTTTGTCCTCATCTTTTTCATCTAAAATCAGTTTTGTGCGGTTCGCCCGGATACTTTAAATCATCACTGTAACTTTTGAAAAATGAGACCAATAAGTAGATATATCTAATAAATTGTGTGAGAGCTTCTTTCAGATACCATTGTTACAAAAATTAGATTTTTTAGTTTCAATTCTGGAGCATCAATCCAGACTGAGTTCGAGCTGGTTTTGATCGGCAGAGTTTTCAGGTTGTCTGATATGGTTGATTTTGGCTTCTTTGAATAAGCCCAGGAACTCATTTAGCTCCTCGTGCTCAGTGTTTTTGTTTGAAACCACCATAATATGACAAAACGCCCGCGCTCTTGAAATTACATTATAAACAGATCTCAACATTTTAGTATCCATGTTTGAAAACACTAGATATATAAAACAGGCTGTAAACTCGGTAGAGTAGATGCTCTGTTCCCAAGCATTGACGATGACAGAAAAATGTCGGTTAAGGAGGCTGTTGATTTCTTGTGCCACTTGCCTCAGAAAAGAGTCATCCGGAACGATGATAAAAAATTTAGATGAGAGATTTGTTGTTTTAGGGAAATGACGATGCATTTTTTTGATGTAAAGTTGCAACACTTCCGTTAACTGTTCAGTATTGTTTACCGGAGATTTAAAGTGAATAACGTCAATTTCAGTTTGTGGTCCATGTATCAAATGTCCGTGGCTAGGATGATGCGACAATTCAGGCGGATGTTCCGCAAAGTAGCGCTGAAGGGCATCCTTTTGTTTAACAGCCTTGGACAGATTAGTCAGGTTTGAAACTATATTCCAAGTGCTGCGATAGTTATGGGTAAGTGATACGAGATCGAAATCTTCAATTGATGTCCAGCTATGTGGAGTTTGCTCAAGTGGCAGATGACATTGGTTGAAGTCAACTGCAATACATGCGCACTTCAAGGACATAAAGTCAATGTCGGAAGCATGCGCATCGTCTACATAAATGACCACTTCTCCCCTCTGAATTGCATGAAGCGTTTTTGAGTTCTTTAACTGCGTGTTACAATGAATAACAGCGACTCTACTTTGCCACAAGTTTGGGTCAAAATCAACTTCAGATAGATCCACACAACTTAACTTAAGTCTAGCGAAAAATTTCTTGTATTCGACTAACTTAAGCTGATTAAAAACAAGAAGAAGCATTTTCAAGTCACTGCTTGTCAAAGCTTGATGCAAAAACCGAGCTATTAACATCAGGCTTTTCCCAGAGCCCGCACATCCAGTGATGATCAAGTTTTTCGATTGATTCTCGAAAGCTTCCTTCTGGTTTTTGGTTATAAATTTGATGCCTAGAATGTCGTGGAAAACATTGATCCCGTTTACGTCCGCAGAATCCATGTCGCTTGTTCTCGCAACATTAGGAGAGAGTTGTCTGTTCTTGCTTGTGAAAGTGATTTCACTATCTTTCAACAGTTTGTCTGTTTTGAGCAAGTCCACCTTAAAGCCAATCGATGATCCGTCAAAAGTTTTATCTTTGGTAGCCCATAATGTCCATAACACATATTTCACCTTTTCAAAGTGTCCTTGGACATCAACTGATTTCGCATGTGGATTTTCCAAGGCATTTCGATTCCACCAGTCGGCAAAATTATCGAAATCGCAGTCAAATATGCACCGCACATTTTCTTGTTCTGTCACAAACTCAGCAGTATTTAGCCTGTTATTATTGCGCGGGAAGGCAACAAAACGGAATACTTTGAATGAGTTTGATTGTAGAGCGGTGGTCGTATGCGCGGACGAATCAGAGCAGCCGCTGTCGAGTGTCTCGTTTTTAATAGTCGCATGCGCAATTCCTTCGATGACTTGGATGAGCTTATCTAGCTGCTTTGATGCGGATTTCACGAAATTTTTCATGGATGCTATCGATGCCTCCTTTTCCGCATTTTTGACTTCAATCAGTGCAAAGTAGTTTGGTCCCAGCACAACAAAATCATTTTCTCCTTCATCCGAATGCAGTCCTTTTTTACAGTTAGGCTGTTGCTTTCTGTTTGAGCATTCTCTCACTTGGTGATTAGCGTCAAACATCCTGTACTGGTAATGAGAGTACTTCAAACCGTGAATCACGCTCACGTTTTCACCCCTTACATTCTCAAGGGCTCGGTACACTTTCACCTCGGCCTCATAGTCTTGTTGTTTTTGCAAATCAGTCTTTACTTGCGGTGTAACGTCCGTTTGGTCAGTGATTTCGTAAAGGTCGATGTATTGTTGATTGGGACAAGTCGGGAACATCTGAGCAAAACAGCCATCGCCTACAGAAAACGTTTCAAACAACTCTTTGCCGTTTTGAAAATAGTCGATGCTGTTCTGCAACTCTTTTTTGCTTTGGAGGCGCCTGATACTTCTATACTTTGTCCAAAGAGAAAGCGCTTGCTTGTCTTCGAACATGATTCTTTTCAAAATTGACTGAAGATCTATCTGCTCCTTGTGACCAGAGGGTGAAGGGCGCTCGTTTCCAATATTTGATTTCAACTTTTCCACAGCTGACTTTCCGAACACCGGTCCAATAAAAACTTCCATAAGACCGTTCAAGTTGACGGTACTTGGAATTAATCTCAAACCGGCTTCAACAGCGTCGTGGTCACGCTTAAAATTTGGTCGAGCTGTTCGCATCATGTTGGTTTGGGGTTCGCTTATGTCATCTCTAATGCACCAAACGGCAAAAAGGGTGTGTTGCACCAAAACGAAGTTACCTGCATAATGAATTGAGCTTTATTTCTGAAAGTAATCACCTTCAAAAATCTATTTAGCAATCTATAAAAGTTGTGGCCAAACAAGAAAAAAAATAGTGAAATCTTATTCCTTAAGCTATCATCGTTCGCACTTGACTCTATACAATCTCCACTATTCTAAATAGAGTTTAAATTGAGCCGGTCCTAATTAAAAGCACCAAACAGGGCTTATTTGATTTGCTCTGTCTTGAAAGTATTTAAAATTTGAGGAGATTATTTAGCCTTTCGATAGTATCATACACAACGTTACCACCTATTGTAACCTATCATCACCTCTGACTATTTCACACTGGTCATGAGCTGAGCTGAGGATCTTTTCAGACCACCAGAAGTCGAACCCATCCAAATCCGTTTTCGTAATCACTCCAAACTTCTCTCCTTCTTTTCTCAGCTCATTTATTCCCGAAATTTCACTGTTTTCTTCAGACACCGGAAATGCAATGTATCTGAAAACTTTAAAGTCGCTTTTCTCTCCTTTCTCTGACTCCTCTGCCAAAGCTATTTTGCGAATCAATTCAAACGATTTCCGTTGATTCGATATCTTCTTGTTAATTTTTTGAGCTTGAATGGTTTTGCCTTCAGCGCCTAATACGGACGGATATACATCAATGATAACAACATAATCGGGCCCGAAAACCAGAAAATCGTTATTGCTGACTAACTTTGACCGGTGCTCGAGTGAACAATTTGGAATAGTTTCTGATTTGGCGCACTCTTCTGGATCGTAATCTGGGTCCCACAAATGAAACTGATTGTGGTTGTAATTGAGACCATGTAATAATATGAAACTATGCTTCAAACTTTTGAAAGCTTGATATACTTCAAAATTGGAAGACTCAACTTCGTCTTTTTGGTATACACGATTACGCACTGTATCGTAGACGGATTCTGGCCGCCTGGCCACATCGACATCCGGAAAAAAGAGAGGACATGTTTTGCTGGAACTGCACTGCTCTTCGAACAATTTTCTCGCATTTCGAATGTAGTCGGTTTTGCTTTTGAACTTCAAAACCATCGTTAGGAAAATTCTGTTAGAGAATGATGACAAATAAAACCCTGTGACCTCAACTCACCTAAATCCGGTTGGAATTATAAGTTCAGCAAACACATAAAAATGAAAACCTTCTTGGGTAAGTTTAGACAAACTAGAAACAATTTCGTGCCAACAAGCCAAGTAATTTTTGCGCAAACAAGCTATGCAGTTTCGAAAAGTGTTCAACCATAACAAATGAAGTATTCAATTGCCACTGGTATGCTAAGGCTTACTAACTGGGTTTAAGAGAATGAAAGAGACTGAATTAAATTAAAACTGTTTCTTTTCTATTCATAGAAAAGCTCCACGGAGTCCGATGGGTTTGGAATATACACAAACATGGCAGATATCTAATTAAGAATAAAGGTCAAATTGAACGAATCAAAAACACAAAGCATTTTATATCCCGAAGCATAAAAAAGTTATATCTGACACTTATGAATGTAGCCATATAACACTCATACTTCTTTCTCCCTTCATCCCACAGGCAACAGGGTTTAGAATTACGAGTAATGAACTTATCATCAACACCATAGAATTTACATTAGATATATACAAATGTACTCAGAGAAGAGGTTATGTGCACGATATCTACAGGCTACAAACAGTTCAAAACATATCTACACGGGACATCCCGGGTCGAGATCCCGCTCAAAAACCGCTCAAGATATGAGCGGTTTGAGCGGTTTTTCAGCAAGATTTGAGCGGTTTGGGCGGTTTTTTTGAAAAAACCGCTCAAACCGCTCAAATCTTGCTTAAGAAATCGCTCAAAAACCGCCCAAATCAATCTAGTTTCTCCGGCTATTTGAACCATATACAACAGTCTGGTGATGAAAAATAACTACGTTTATTTTTTTTGAAAAAGAAAATGGTTATCATACAATTTCCATATATGAAAATTGTATGATAACCTTTTTTTCATGAAAGGCAAGATTTTCAGAAATTGTTCAAACTTGTTTATGAACAAATTTAAATTATTTAGGAGTGCTTTTGCTCAAGATTGGAGCGGTTTTTGAGCGGTTTTTTCAGATAAACCGCTCAAAACCGTTCAAATCTTGCGCGGTTTTTGAGCGTTTTTTTTTTAGATAAACAGTTCAAAAACCGCTCAAACCGCTCATTTTGAAGCAAGATTTTGAGCGTAATTGTCTAAAAAAAATCGCTCAAGCTGCTCAAATCTTGCTTCAAATTCGGTGAAGAATCTCGACTCGGGATGTACAAGATGGTAGTGTACAACTGAGAACAATCAAAAATGCAGAATAAAAAAATATTTAACCAAGGTAAAACTAAGTTGAGCGTCGATAAAACTTCCGATATGTAAAAACTTAGAAAATAAGAAGCAGTGTTTTGACTGTCGAACCAAAGATAAATAAATGATTTGAGTTTTTGGAGAAAAACAGTTCAAAATAGAAGGTTGTAGTTGATATGAAGTTTATCCACGTCTGCTCTTGTTTCGTTTTCGATTACAAACTATCGCTCGATTACGAATTTTAAGAACTATCGCTAAATTGGTCCTGTGTTGGCGTATCCACCTCTGCCGAAAATGATCCTGAGACTTTTGAGTTATGTACCAGTGACTGTTTTCACAGAGTAATTTCAGATAAGGTACACCGTCTACTCGTCACGCTATCTTATTTTCGGCCGGATAGATTCATGCAACTTCTTAGTCTAATACCAATTTTACTCTTATATCTCCTAGTCTCATTAGATCTAGTGTATAATGGTTTATGCGAGTTAGTTTGAAGAAGGAGAACAACTGTATTCTAAGTCTAATACAAATTGTTCTGGTGTTGAAGCTACAAGTAGTTTCAGAACTTACAAATAAGTGTAAATGTTAGAGATGGAATATGAATGGTTAGTTATAAATTTTTTATAGTGATATTACATCATAAATATAATTGGTCCATAAATGCTAGCTTAGAATTGGTTCCGCCCATCCGGGGTTTAGAGAGTTTTTAGTTTTTAATTGTTTGATGTAGTGAAGAGCGGGTGATGAAGTTTCTTTTTGAAGTTGCGAGCATTGACTTCTTGGAGAAAGGAGAAGTGTGGCTGTTTGTGTTTGACGGAGTAAGATTGTTATCATCGTGTTTCTAGATGGGTCTCTTTGATCGTGGTAGTCTTGGGTGATTGTGTCAAAACTTCTGATCGATGCAATAATGTATCGATTTCGTTAGAGCGAGACTACGTGCAGGGTGAAGTTTGACTTTTCCGCGTGAAGTGCCAAGTGACTAGGATTGGTACGTGTAGTCAGCATCGAGATGGCCGTTGGTCTGTTTCGAGGGTTTTCCTTTGCTGCGGTGTTGAGTCCATAGTTTAAATCCTTTGAGGGCAGTGACTTTAGGCAGCAAATTGAATAGATTTGCGTTTCCGAAGTTGGAATGTGATTGGGTTGTCGTCTCCTTTGCTGCTCGTTCCCTGGGCTCTAATAAATCTATACAAACTGCGTTTAATGTTTACATATATAATTACCTTTTGTTAATTAGGTTTTAGTTATGATTTGTTATTAATTGTTATCGCAGAAGCGTTTAACTTTAGTTTGGTTATTTTTCACACCAGAGCAACACTTGGCAAAAATATAGTGTGGGTCGCAAAGCGTGGGGTAGCGCGTTGCGTTAGGCCAGCTATAGAGCATGCTCAATAAATCTGCATTTTTTGTTGAATTTATTACATTGAAATATTAATTTTACTGCTTTTGGGGAATTTAATTTATTAATTTACTGCCTTGTAAAAATGAATTTATTGCTTTGGAGGATTATTTATGAGTTTACTGCTATTTAGAGGTAATTTTACTGCTTTCATTTAGACTACATTTTGTTAATATGAGTTTTAAATTTCTAGAAAAAAGTTTCAATTTTTTATTTCTTTTTGTTTATTTTAGATGATTGTATGATGAGGTCTAAGAACGAAAGTGAAACCTTTATAAAGAATGGTTAGTTGTGTTTCGAATTTATTAGTGTAAGATCCATAATTGTACTGACTTAATTTTCAGCAAAAAATCCATTTGGGAAAATATCGTGAGTGACGTTCGATGGTGTTAAAAGTTTAGCAAGCAAGCGGTTGATTTAATTAGTTTGCAGTAGAGGCTATAGGAGTTCAAGTGCTTTGATGATCTTTTGCTCTTCACTACTTGGTGAAAATTCGTGCGGAGTGTTTTGGATTAGATTATAAAGTTTATGCTTATAGTTAGTGTTATGAATATATTCCAGGATTGGGACTTCAACGGGCTTTATATACCCGTGAGAGACAATTAGTGGACGGGATTTATCGATATTGAAAGTTTTGGTTAGTGGGCAAAATATATACAGTTGTCGTATAGGGTCCTAGTTTCTGATGATACCTTGCATGTTAGCGTCTTTTATACAGTATGTGAAATTTCAGAAGAAGAGTGACGTATATTATTTCTGATGATACCTTGCATGTTAGCGTCTTTTATACAGTATGTGAAATTTAAGAAGAAGAGTGACGTATATTAAGAGTTAATAAATTGAAATCGATGTTGCGGGTTTCGTGATGGTGTATTAGTTGCGTCATGGTGTTGGATAAATTTATAATACGTTTATGTGTGAGTTTGTTCTGTGCGTAACATTATTTGATGTGAGCAGCGTAAGTCACGTTCTTTCGGTGTTAGAAAAGTGAAAGTTAGTGAAAAATGGTTAAATTCATTGAAATAAGGGTCGTAGGCTTTTGTGTCGCGAAGTGCTGTAGATATAACAAGATCAACATTTTTATTAATGCAGTTGATGGTAAATACATATTGATATCTTATGAAAAACTTTTCAGTTAGTTGGCGATTAGCGTTAGTATTGTCTTCTAGAAAGGTATCAGCCATGTATCGTGCAATGGCGTGATCATATTGGTTAATGGAATATCGGTTTGCTTTTTGTGCAGTGAATCTATTTAGTGTTTGGGTTAGTCCGATGGCTGTGAATTGCTTTTTATGAAGTGCTATGGTTGGGTGATGTAATGTGACACATTTCATTGTCGTCTGGGTTTTTATATAATGGGAGTGATTATGGTTACTGAAATGATAAAATGAGGTCCATGAAAGTGAGGGAAACAAGGCATGTTCATTAACGTAGGTTCGTTGATCGTTGTTAGTATTTGCTTGATATTAGGTGTACTGTGGAAAAAACGGATGATTGTATATTGAGGACCCTTCCGAATTGGCAAAAATAGTCCCCTCCGGATTGGCAACAACAGGACCCCTCCGGCTTGGCAAAATTGGAACCCTTCTGGATTGGCAAAAATAGGACCCCTCCGGATTGGAAAAATAGGACCCCTCCGGAATGGCAAAAACAGGACCCATCCGGATTGGCAAAATTGGAACCCTTCCCGATTGGCAAAACAGGACCCCTCCGGAATAACAAAAACAGGAACTCTCCGGATTGTTAAAATTGTGACCCTTCCGCAGTACACCTACCCACTTTGTGTTAGTATGAAGTGGGTGAACTGAAAACGTTCGAGGTAGTCGAGGGTTAGAAGGTCTTTGGGCATTGAGATGTTTACGTTTAAATACCCGGTGGCCTCGGGTTTCTTCAGTAGTAGATTCTGGCTTGGAGGATTCGGAGGATGTCATGGTTTGTGATAGATGACAAATAGTTAGTGTGTTAGGTTTTTGAAGTTGTTATTGTAGGGTAATAAAACTATCTAATTTATTCTCGAGTTCTTCATCAAAGGGGCTAGAGGGGTCAGGTGGGTCACTGGTCATTGGGGAGAAAATTGGGATTGCATCAGTGTAGGAAGAAGGGGCTGAGGAAGGTTAATTGGGAATTTGGATATGGGTTTGTTGAAAGGGGGTTGGGAAAAATTGGATGGGCTAGGCTCGGAGTCTGCAAATTCATCTGGGGTTTTAGATTCAGAGTAGTTAAATTTTGAAATTGTGAAAAAAACTGTGTTTGTGGAAGTGTCATGTGAATCCATGCTTGATGAACTATTAGTGTAAGATGGTACAAGATAGGGAGTGAATTCAGAAATTGATGATATGTTTGGAG